ACTCCAGCTCAGTTTATCTAACTAGAAAGATCCTAACTTCAAAATTATATTTTTTAAGGGTCCGTTTTGGTTTAGTCAGTTCCTGGGTTCAAAATTCCTTAATGTTGATGTTAATTCCTAGAAATTTCTGGGAATCAAAGAAAATGCCAATAAACAAATAATCATCAAAAGCAGTGCAGAATCATGGTAGGCACTCTGTCACTGAAAGAAAGAACAGAGGAAAAAATGTGAGCAAGCCCTTTTGCAAAATTACTGGATCAAATGATGAATCACTTTTCCCAGCAAACAAGTGTTGACTCAAACTGTATCATTTGCCAAAGCTTTTCAGATGTTAGGTGCAGTAGCACAATTCCCTGAGTCTCTGCTAGGGGAACAAGGTATTTCCCTTGCTCAAGTTTACATTAAAGCAACCTCTTTCTGTGGCTTCTTTTCAAGGACCTGTAGACCCTCCTCTTCCCTTCCCCTGACACCAGACACTTGAGGCAAATACCCAGGAGTCCATGCCCTAATGCTACGAACAGGCTGCGATGATGCAGAGGAAACCCATGTTAGCTATTTCAGACAGTCCTTTCACCATGCGCCTTCCTACAAGTCACACCAGAGGCACTCAGGGATTTCTCTCATGCTGACCCTCAAACCTCCATTGGCCACCTCACAGCTTTTCCCTCTCTTCTGGTAGCCTTACGTGCCTATGTTAAACAGGGGATGGACCTTCTTATGACAGCTCTTGCTCAGCAACCCCTTGCTCCATAAGGTAGCATCAGGGTCCCCGAGAGATGACGGGTGAGCAGCTTCAGCAGCAGCAGTAGGTGACCTTGAAGACATTCAGAAAAGTCTTCAGCAACTTCACCCTCTGCCCATTTTAGCCTTTCAAAGCATAAGTGCTGAAGATCAGGGACTATCCTTAACGTTTATAATGGGCAGCATATCAAGCACAACGGTAGGCTATGCCTGGTGCAGGGCCACGGTTCTGCTGCATAGATGGTAATCTCTCTCCCCTCACACATACGGTGTTTGTAAAAATAACCAATGTTATTAAAAGTAAAGTTTCTTTTTGCATTTGTATAGTATTATGCATTGTCATCTGAACAGAGTGAAATCTTTAGCCTAAACACTAATTGATTAAAAACATGTATTCAACAACAGCAAATCGTTTTGTGACCTCCTCTGTTCCACTCAATTGCTTTTGTGAAGGAAAAGCACCAAACAATGAAAGAATTTGTTCTGAACATTTTTTAAAGGAGCATCTCAGTTGTTAAAATCGGTGATAATGCTTCGAGGAGAATTTCCCTTTGACCAATTTTTAGAAAAGCTCAGCTATAGAAAATATTTTGCTCAGTCTAAAATAGAACTTCTCTTCGATTTCTCCAAACTGTGGGTGAACCAAAAGACCAATTAATTGCAGAGTTCCTGCTGTATCTGGTACCTCCAGTAATGCTTGAAGTTCCACATGCAAAATCTCTGTTACAAATTGCACCCATTTCAATGGACAGAGACTGAGGGCCTGGGGATGAAAACACAGCCTGGAGTAGCCCTCATCTGATGGGAAATTGCAACTACTGCACAGTTAGAAGTTACATTTCAAATGATGTCTTGGTGCTCCTGATCCACCTCTCCCTTCAGGGACTCCCATATCAAATCAGCTCGCTTTACAAGTCAAAGTAAGTTGTTTCTGACTGTCGCCACGGACTATTGCTGTCTGAAAATCGAGCTGTTTTCTCTCTACTTTATACATTACCCCCAGATATGAAGACTCCAAACTGTGAACGTAATTGGCAATTCTCTTGACAATGTACAAGGTAAAATAGAAGCAGCATGTTGCTCAACTGCTCAATTGGATCTGGAACAATGACAGCAGTTATAATTGCTATCTACTGCTTAAATAACCAGATACTATATGACTCAGAAGATGGAGGCTAAGAGATGAACAGGACCAAGATGCCATTTTTGTCACAAGTACATTTCAAGCCAATTTTTTTTTAACGTCAGAGGGAGCTAATGGTGGAGGCTGAAAAAAATGCATACATAGGTTAAATTGGCCATGCTGTCAGCAGGATGCAGCTATGCTCACTCTCTGGGAGATGTACGCAGGTAGAAAACAATCTCCCTTTGGGAAATTATAGGTATCTTTTTGCAAGTAGTTTAGGTAGCTTAAACACTTGGGATCATGTATCCTTACAGTTAGAATTGCAATGACCTGAGAGTTAATGAACATTTCTTCACAGGTGAGAAGTGCCCAACTAAACAACTTCAGGTTTGGAACACTTTCACTCCTAATACTGCAGCCTTCCCTCTTCTTCCCTGGGAACTAACTCCCAGAGGCAACTGTTTGCAGCACTTGCCTTTCAGGACATCTGAAATGCAAATATGATTTTCTTTACTTCCTGACCCTTGGCTCAAAACATCTGCGGCTCTCTAAATCAAAAGCAACTACTGCTATTTAGCAACTTCTTCTGCCCTTGCTTCATTCTGACAGGATATGGAAGCCATGCTTTGGTGTCACCGTGACATATCACAGGTGTTGCTGTGATGTTTGAGAACTTCTGGTTGGAGTCCCCAAGCAGTTGGTGTCACTGTCCTTCATCTTGCATTTTGTCTAGCAGCAAAAAGCCTGGCTGGTCGGGAAACAGCTACAGGTTGAAATTTTGGTCAAACTGAGAATAAAAAGAAATTAAAATTCTTCAGCACTGACATCCTGCATTTCTCTTCCGGACAAGCCAGTTGAGTTGGCAGTCTCAGCATCTGTCATTTGAGTACATTGTAGAAGAGCAGCTGGTGATGCTATCTATAATAGAAGAAAAGGCTTTTCAAGGTTCATGTCGTGAACCCTGGGCCATGATGGTACAGTTTAATTTTTCAGAGAGCAGCTCTGGCAAATACAATGACTTTTCATCCTGCTACTTTCTGAAAAAGCTCTGGAAAATTGTTCGAAGTGATCGGTTTCAATCAATTTGGTGGGGCAATGATGGCAACCGTGTAGCGATTGCTGGAGAAAAAAAAAAAAATCTTAAAAAGGGAAGCGCTGGGAAGGGGAGGACCTCCACAAATTTTTGAAACCAATTCCATGAAAACTTTTATTCTTCAGCTTAATCTTCATGGATTCAGCAAAATGGAAGAGAATTCTCCAACACCTGCTTCAACTGACAAACTTTGAGCACTAGCAGCCGCAGGTTCTGCTTTTGACAAAGTACATCAGTCCCTTTGCACATCAAATAACTATACTACTCGAATATCCTAAGAGATATTCATCCCACACTGCAGTACCTCAAAATTAGGGTTATTTGGGTTTCTAAGTCAGTTTGTATGCTTTTTAAAATCCTACACTTCTCTGACACTCCTAAACAGAAAAAACGCCAGGGTCGTTAGTACTTAACAAAACTGCATCATAACATTTTATTCCAGTTTATTCATCTTTAAAATGCCCCTGAGTCCTTTGTAATATCCATGTTTGTCTTTTGTGAGTCTAGCGCTTAGTTATCACAGCTTTGTCTTTCTCAGTCTGGAAATGGTGCCAACTAACTCCTCTCCTTTGCATTTTTTAGTTACTCTTCTACTCCAACCCCTATTGCAAGATAGATTATCCCCACCTGCTACAAACCCGTAAGCTGAGCGCTGGTGGTAAAAACACAGCACTAGCTGCATTCTCATTGGACCCAGATTTGAAGCAAGGCTGCTTGAGAAGAAGCCCAGATGTTCAGCCAGCAGTAGGAGCTACTTCTGCAGAGGAGAATGATCCCTTCACAGCAGCTCCACGGAGGACACCCAGACACCTGCACCCAGCACCTCCACACCTAACAAGCCGTGTGATAAAGCGTCAGCCCGGACTGGAAGTGCCTGTACCTCTGCACATGCAATTTCTCTGACGCTTTCAGGCCCTGCTGCAGCAGTGGGAGGCAAGGAGTTCAAGCCTCAGGCACCATCCCTAATCACCACAACGCTGCAGCCATAGCCCTGTTGGTGTCCAGGATGCAGCTTCTGTTCCATCTGATACGGCACCACATCACTTTCCTTTTACAACAGGGCTGGTGCTTCCTGCCTTTCCATTCAGGCATCCACATGTAGCAGCTATGCAGGCTCCCTGGGCTAGCCTGCTTCCCTTCTCTGAGCCATGGCTTTCAACATCTATGCTAGCAGCAGTCGCTGCTGTTGCTATGCCAAGGCCACCGCCTTAGCAAGCCCCAGCATACCCTCATTGCTCTACTTGCACCTGCTGTCCAAATAAATCTTTTCTAGTTTTCTTGTCCTGTCTCTACAGTCTTACAGTTACTGTCTCTACACCCCAGGGGGCTGCCTGCAGGGACCTGAACTGGTTTGCTCCAGCCCAGGGAAGCCAAAGGCCCCAGGAACTAGTGGTGCACTCAGCAAAACCCAGCAAAAGGGCAGCGCATGGCCAATCCAGTAGCTGCACCAGCAGCAAATTGTACAAAGCAATGCTATACAGCACAGTCCGACCATAGAAAGATTCCTTGAAATAGGTCCTAGGATAAAAGAGCTGAGTATGTGATTCCATGTCCCATTTTAAACATCCATATGCCAGATGATGACAACTGCCTATTAAACTGCAATTGGGAATCAGCAGACAAACATACTTCATCTCATGCTTTGTCCCAATTATTTTAAAATAGGTATTGCTGAGTCAGTGGTTTGGATTACAGGAATCAGAGGTCTTTAATAGAATTTGACAGCTTTTCAGATTTGCATGAAGTCCTCTAGAAGCAGATCAAAGTGGGAACACTAGTTCTAGTCAGGTTCACAGGTGGAAACGAACTTCCTACAAAAATGTACCAAATGAAATCATCGATGTTACAGACGTTACCTTCCCTCCACTCATCCCACAGCAAGAATCCCTCTTCACAGTGTTGCACTCCCAGTATTCCCCTTGGGGTCCACTTCCCTGCTTAGTACATATCTCCTTCCCCAGGTGAATGCCTTTAGCCCCTGGCCGTCAGCGCTCCCATTCAGCAGCAGGGCTACGAAACACCACATCTGGCATAACTCACAGTTGGCCTCTTCCATTGTATTCGCCGCAGCTTATCCTCTGGGAGCAGGTTGGGACCGATGGAGCTGATGTGAGCAGGGAAGGTGGAGTCCTCAAAAAGCAGTCCTTGGCTCAAACACAGAGCTCGCAGGCGGTTGAAGTCCTGGTTATTAAATTTCTTCAGATTCTGGAGGCTTTCCGTTGCCCCTGTTGTTTGCCGGCCCTGCTCCCGCATCTGAGCGGAGCCGGGATCGAGCATTGTGCCGCTTTTCTGTGAAGGAGAGACATGGACTGCCGTTAGTTTCCTGATCCAAAGCAATGCCTTAGGAGTGTGTGGGAAAGCAAACACCTCCCCCCCACCCAGAGGATTGTGGAGCAGCAGCTTGCAAAGCTGAGGGCAGTCACAGTGACAAAATCCTTATTAGCTGGAAATGCCTGGGGAAAGAGCAGTTGCCAAATCCCAACTGGTTTATCTTAAACCAGTGCTGTCACTGCTACAAATTCAATTTTGAGTCTTCCCTGAGGACAGAGAGCAAAGCTGTTAGTGAGCCACTGTGTTAGCATAGAGGTAGATCTGCAACATAAGCGGGCATAGGGGATGGAGCAGGAGCTGCAGACACAGGGGAGGAGGGAGGTGGTGTGTGCAAGGAAGCTGCTCAGAGGTACCCAGGACCCTTCTGGTCATGAATCACACCTCTGCCCAGGGCATCTTTTGAGTTATTTATTTCATTTCCACAAGTGAGCGCTTGGCAGTCACTCCCTGTGAGACCTAACGAAGGCAGAGACTTGCCTTTCCTTGGGATCTGCTCCAAAGACCCCAGACAGATTCGGGGGTGGCTTCCTACCAGCTTATACAGATGCTTCACCAGACTCCCTAAGGCTACAGTGATGGGACCAAGCTGCAACATCCAGACCTGGATCGCACATGCAGTACTTGCTCACATGAGCGTGCACCAAGATCTGGGGGTTTTGGACTCAGTAGTTCATTTGAAGGCCAGTGTTCAAACAGATCTGAATTGTAGATTTGTATGTAAACTGGGCAGTCATTGCGTGGCATCTGTAGCTTTTCCAGTCTGGAGCATGTTTGAGTCCCTCTTTGTTAACATGTCTAAAGGAAAGGGGCAATTCACTTAGGAAAAGTGACCATTTGACACACAGAGTGAAGCTCCAGAATGGACCTGCTAATACATGTGCTGGCACAGCTAGGGAAGGATGCAGGAGATAAAATCTCCTGTTGTGGCCTCTGTCCCCTTTACAGCCATCAAAGAGCACAGCAGGACTCTTGCCATCAAAGATCTACTTTTGCTACAAAGTGAGGCAGTGTATCATCCATGGAGACGCTGGACTGTGGAGTGAGACGACTTTTGGGACACAAATAGGAGAAGGGCACGGGAAGGCAGAAAACTTGCATGTTTGGACAGAGAGTGGCATCAGACCTTTAAAAGAGCACTTTGTTCTGTCTAACCAGGGGCTTTCAGGTGCACTCCCCAGAGCAACGCATACATATGCATAATTTCCTGGGGATCTTCCTTCATCTAAAAAGCTCTGTTGTGGAGTTCAGAGTTTAGAAAAGTAGCAGGAAGGCTGTTCAGCCTGCCTGGCCCCCTGGTTCCTCCAGCACCTTTTGTCGTGCAAAATTATATGTTGCTGGGTCAAAATATAGCTTGAGATCCACACCAGCTTTCACCCTTCATTTACACTTGCCCTCAAAAACAAAACTTTAACTGACCTGAGCTCTAATTCCCCTTTTGTCCCTCTCCTTATGAAAAGAGAAGCCCCTGGCGAAGCCCTGCATTAGCAGACTTTTAAGATCAAGAAGGATCATTGTGATCACCTCCTCTGGCTTCTTGCATGACAGATGCCACTGCGCTTCATCCAGTGGTTCCTGCCCCTAGCTCTTGGCTTCCATTCAAGATGTACCTTCTCATAAATTAGCACTGAAAAATCCACCACATGCTCTGGGCAAGCCACTCCTATAGTTAATTAACTTCGCTGTGCTAATTTCCAGCCTGAAGTCACTTAGTTCAGTTTCAGGCCACCAGATGCCATCACTTTTTTTTTTTTTTTAAAGTAGATGAAAGCACTCTTTTCCTACCAAACAAACTTATCTGTAGATCTGATATGTTCCTGGTACAGTACAGAGAGCAGATGGCTCCAGTAAGAGTAAAGCCTCAGATTTTTATCCTGAATCATTCACACATGTGAAAAACACAGACCAGCCACGCCGAAGGTGTGATACAGTCCCCCCACACGTACACACTTTTTACTTAGTGTCATCACCTTTCTTGGTACTTCGCATCACTTGGCCTCCTGAGATTGTAACAACAGCCTAGAAAAATAAGGAGTTTTGCATCTCTTTTTTTTTTTTAATTAAAAGCCCCTCAAAAAAATCAGATGGAATTCAGAAAGCACCCTCAGCCAACAAGAAGAGAGAACATTCCCCTTGGGCTTGCATTTTTTAATACAATGGAAATAAATCTCATGTAATGTACCATAACACGACAAGGGAATGGCTTCTTCTTAACAAATACTCATTTGAAACTGTGCCCAGGCCCCATGCATGCTAAGATCTATTTCTTGCAACAGTGTTCCAGCAAAACTGATTACTAATTCCAAAACTCAAATTAAAACTAACAGAGCTTGAAGGCTGGGTCTGACACGCGTTCCCTCTCTTCTGACAGAGAACAAGAGTTTTTAGCATGTGTGTGTGTGTGTTTAATTACGTTGTTTAACATATCCGGAATAAATTAGCAACCAGACTGAAGAAAATAATACACTTAACTACTTTTCCCTTGCAGGAATAACTTAATCAGAGTTGTGTCTGGGGGCACACATGCACAGATATGAACTCTACATCCATCCATGCCCCTGCACAGGCAGTCTATGGAATCACACGCACATGGCTAGCCCTGTCCTGTCTGCACCAGCACGCTCTGCTGCCCACCTGTTTTGGAGCAGCATCCTGAGCCCCAGCCATAGGTGGGCTCTCATGGGTGCATCAGCAACAGCAAAGATCACAACAGCTTTTAAAGCTGAATATTGCCTGCCTGGTTGGGGAGCTTCTTACAGTTATGAACTCTGAGGCAGAAAGACTTTAAAGGGAAAAAGTTATAATGCAATTGGTCTCAGAGGCGTTGCCCTTGGACTGCTCCCTGCCATGTGACGTGGGGAGAGAGGGAGGGATTTCAAACACAACAGCTGGTTCAGACATATTGTGAAACACTGGAGAAAAACAAGAGACTGACTCTCAACTAAGGACATTATTATTCAGAGAGGGTTAAACATACACTTACTTAGTCCTGGGATCTCCTCCAACACATTCACTTATCTGAAATGGAGAAAGGAATTACGCCCAGCTTTGCATCTACTGCTCTTTTGGCCCCTTTTCCTTCTCAGCAGAGAGACATCCTCTCTCTCTGTCTCAGAGAGAGGGTCAAATGACAAAGGGTGAGGGAAGGAAGGGGAGCAGTGGAAAAGCTACAGAAAGAAGGAGAAAAAGAGATCAGATGTGACAGTTGGAAGGGATGGGAAGGAAAGGGGAGTCTCTGAGGATATCAGAGTAAAAGGTTGGTGAGCCCCGCAGAAACAAACCTGGGAACCCCACGCACCCACCACATTCTGCATTAAACAGCTTAAAAGACAGCAGCAAAGGGTGTGTCTTGTCTCCCTCCAGCACTCGTTCACGAAAGATGTCAAGCAACTATTATAATCAGATACTCAATGGTGGCAAATGCTACTGACAGCTAATTACACTTTGCATAAAGATTTATGTCAGAGTACAGACATAATTTCCTGCAATGGCTTCTGATATTTTTCACTGAGTAAAAAGTGGAAACAGGCAATTAGAAACATGCGTCTGCTTCACAGCTGAACTATCCACCTTCTCCTCGCCATCGATTTTCTCAAAACATTTCCATTACATGTTGGCTCAGCTGGGTTTCTGTACTTTAGGAAGAGCAGCTGAATTTTCTCAAACACTACAAAGAATGCCAGAAAAGCCAGCAGTCCTTCTTCCCCTGTTTCCTCTCAAACACTCCAAACTATCAATGTACATTTCATCTCACCCATAATATTCAATATATGCTACAGTAATGCAAGCACTCTTTCACTCTAAGACCCTGTCATTCATGTATTTGGAGCATTGTAAAAACTTCAGGGAGTCAGTTCCAGAATTCTCTTAAAATGAAGGAATGTGCGAGTTTATTAGCTCTCCTTGCATCCAGAGAAAAAACAAATGAGAGTGCTGCTTTTCAGCAGCTTGCCCACAGCGACAGAAAATTGTGGAGGCAGAGCTGGGACCTGAACTTGGGCATCCCAAACCCCAGATGGCCAACAGCTCCTTGTACATACAATGTGTGAAAGCCTTGAGTACCTCAGAAAATCAAAACCAAAGCCAGGCACTTTGGCAACCCTCCAGGAGCTTACTTTCCCAGTGGCATCTTGCATGACCTTCTGCTCCAAACAGTCTGTGAAGTACTCCCTTCTGGCTATTTATTAAGTCAATTTTCTCCTCATTTTGCATACATAGCATATGACAGTTCCAGATACCTTTTTTTCTACCTCATTTAATGGCAGCATACAGTAACTATAGAGTCCTCCTCATCTTAGGATCTCCACTCCCACTTGATCCAATTACTTCTGACAACTTACCGTTTTACTATGAGGCTCTTTCTAGGACAGCAAATTCATCTTTTCTTTCCCTCCAGGTAACATTAAGGACGGGGACTCTAATTTATTCTGTCTCCCCCTCTCAATGTATCTCTGGTGCTTTTCCAGCACTATTACTTGCATTTCACCTGCTTCATCTTGTACTAAGTAAAACAGCAAAGTGATGTTTTACCTGCAATGCCTCCGGTGTAATTCTCCAGCCAACACCAACAGAGTGACAGATAGGCTGGCACTATCCCCGTTCTCCTTTATAGGGCAGCTTTTGCCACACCTTAGGTAAACATAACTAAGTTGAAATCAAGTTCAAGACAAAAAGCAAGCAGTCTGACTCAGGCATAATAGTTTCATACAGATACCACACCGCAGAGATAAGCAAGCACACTTTTATTAGCCATCCACAATGAACTGTCTATCAACCTCTACCGGTTGATAGTTTCGTGTGGCTAACTGTAGCTTCAGTTGCAGTTATTCTTATAGAAAAAAACAAAAACAAAACAAAACAGGATTTGTTTGCATTTGCACCTCCCACACTTTCACATTATCCGTTTTCCTGCTCACACCACTGGGAAACGCAGCAATCATCCTGGATCC